ATGCTACAACGCATGGACGAAAACACATTAGGGGTATAAAGCTGTTAATTTTATAAAAGCTTTATTAATACTTGAGTTATTGAGCGAAAACTGTTTCCAGTTTTAAGAAGATTATAACCTTGATCTTTCACCTTGTGACCCAAAATCAATAGGGGTCTTATACCCAATATGGACAATCATCCTATGAAGTTTTAATACTGTGGACCAAATGGAACTTAAGTTATACTCTGGTAACCATTTTCAGTATTAAGGTAATAGTGACCTTTGACCTTGTGACACCAAAATCTACAGGGTCTTCTACCCAATATGGCCAATCATCCTATGAAGTTTGAATATTGTGGGCCAAAAGGAACTAAAGTTATGCTCCGGAAATCAAATTGCTAACGTACGGACGCCAGGGGGTATAACATAATATGCCCGAAATTCTTTCGGGGATATAAAAATGTATAACCCAAATTATTTTTCTGAAGACATCAGTTACATAACAGAGTAATTTGTCCAGCCATGGTATACATACACTCTTCTTATGTTTTACAGGTGAATGTCTGTTGAAACATATTTTCAATGAAATTCTATGAAACTGTCGTAATCCATTGTAAATTGGATATTCAAGTTCAGTAATACCATATCACACGTTATCAATGATATGAAGATGTTCCACTGTTTCTACCACATCCAAAATATTTCAACATTCTCTTAGTAAAGTTGAAATGATCCAATGAGGAAAGGCGAGTTAAATCTGAAATTGAAAATTGCAATACAGATTTACAAAATATTTTAACTGATGTGACCTATGAAAAATTCTATATATACGTGACAAAATGTATATGAAACATTCCATTTATATAAAAAATGGGGCATTGTTTATGTTTACATTATGACACTATAATGAAGAAATAATATATCTAAAACAGTGATTTTATCGTTCAATAAAATCAATGTTTGGAGTTCGGAAGCGAGGAATTTTATCACGAGGGCGTAGTCCAAGTGATATAATGATGCGCATCGGAACAACAAACAATGATGTTATCAAGGGATAAAATTACTGATTTGGATATATTATTTTTATTCTAACACTATTTTACCAAAATAATGCTGCCGTACTTGATATTAACTTAAATTGCGCCTGATTTGTTTCCTTTCTTATTTTCAGAGCAAATTTTTTTTAGAGGTTACGTCAAGTGTATTATGATAATGAAACTATTTTAAATATTGAATGTCAGATTGTGATTTCATAGCATAATAACACACACTTTCGGTTCTTCTTTGTTCAATAGAGAAAAATACGGGTTGTGTTAGAATGCAAAATAAATTATAATACGCACTTTCGATTTTCCTATGTAAAACACTGAAAAATCTGGGTCATGTTAAAATTGATCATTGTAAGTCAGTAAACACTTATTTTGAAATATTTTTTACTCTACAGGTATTGTTTTAAAATTACAAATTTTATAAAATTTGAATGTTTTATATTTTATTTAGGATACAAGACAACATTATACAAGATGAAAATGGACAGGTATACTTAACAGAAATAGAAAAGAAACTGAAATGCGTCTACAATGGAAGAGAAATAGGGAAAGCAATGAAACAAGTTTTTAAGGGTGTCATTGTAAAAACTGCTCGCAACAAAGAATATTGGGCAAAACTTACAAAAGTGTACATTGGTGTACAATGGAAAGAAAAACTCCCAACAATAGATTCTAATCCTGACAGCACCTCTCTTCAACCTCCAGAAGTTCTTACACAACCTGAAATACATACAGGTATAGACTTTGATCATACTTATGCAGTCAAGCTTACTAACACAGACCATGAAAATTTAAGTGAAGTTTTAAATGAAGTTACTGATACAGATTTTCTTGAAAAGTTTAATTTAAATGACAAAATGAAGACACTTCTCTGATCACAGCTTAAAAATAACAATATTTCACCAAAAGCTAGAAGATGGAATCCAGAAATAATACGACTATGTCTGTCAATGTACTGTAGATCTCCAAAAAATTATGAATATTTATGTAAAAGCAAATACTTAATATTACCATCAACAAGTCAAATAATAAGATACAAAAACAAAGTTGACCAAAGTGCAGGTTTTAACAATGATGTGCTTCAATGGATGAAGAATGAAGCAGAAATTCAAAACGTACCACCTGTGGGATATAAGGGAGGGCTTCTAATAGATGAAATGACTATACAAGATGACCTACAATTGAAAAAGGTTGGAGATGAATTTCAGCTCATTGGTTTTGTGGAATGTTGTCCGGAATCAGTTTATTTTGACAAACTTTGTGGAAAAAATACTTTAAAACTTGCTAATCACGTTTTAAAGCTACTTTTTATAGGTCAGTAAGGTTTTAGATTTCCTGTTGCTCATTTTCCAACATCACAAACAAGTCCACCAGAGTTGTATTTGATATTTTGGAAAGCTGTAAAGAAATTGGGCATATATGGATTTCATGTTACGTATTTAAGTTTAGATGGTGCACAAAACAACAGACAATTAATGAAAATTCTTATTCCAGAATGTAATACATCAAAAACAATGACCAGCATGTTAGTGCCTAATGTATTTTCTCCACATAAACCAAAGATTAGTGTAATAATGGACTACTCACATATGATTAAAAAAATAAGAAATAATATATCTAAAAGTGGACTTTTGAAATCACATAAAAAATTACTACAACTTAACAACAAGAACATCATTTGGGATCACTGGATAAAAGCATATCAATGGGATATATCTGTTAATACTTTTAAAATCCATCAGAAGCTAACTCAGGATCACTTTTTTCTGAATTCTCAATTGAAAATGAGGAATATACTAGCAGAAGAAGTTTTAGATAAAAATATGCTCCATCTTATTATCCAATACCAGCAAACCCTAGAAAAAGACATAGCCAGTGATCTTGACAGTACCATTGAACTTCTAAATCAAACATCTGTTTTAGTAACTTTCTTCAGAGACAAGAGACCAATAACATGCTACAAGGACACAAGACTCTATGAATTACGAAAAGTCCTTGATTGGTTTAAAGAATGGGAAATCAAGATTTACAACAGTGATAGTACAAACAAAGAGAAATCGTTATTTTCATACCAAACAAGGGAAGACATCATATCCTGTCTGTTAGGCTTTGATGAAATGTGTCAACAATCTTTAACATCCAGCTACATGTCAATTGTACCTGCAAGAATAAACAGTGACGCCATTGAAAACATATTTTCGCAACAAAGGGGAATCCACAATGGAGATAACACCAATCCCGACTACCTTACATACTGCCGCACAACCAATGCCATTATTCTTGGTGAAAATCCGGTATCAAGGAAGAGTAATGCAGCAGTTAGCAATGGAGCTACATATATGCAAAAGAATTAAGTAAGTTTTAAAAGAAATATCTATATAAAATAAATGATTACTGCTTTACATGTAAGGTAGGAAATCATTGCTCATAATAAATAAAAATAAAAAATATTGCGAAATATCAAATTATGCATATCTACATGAAAATTACAAATTGAACAGTTATTGTTCATTAGATTAAGTGAAATATATATACTGGTATATTTCTTATTGCTTTAACTTCAAGTTTACAGTTTCCTAGCAAAAGATATGTGCTAAATACTTCAGTTATGAAGTCATTAAAACATGATATCATTATGTAAATTTTATAATATAATTAAAAACAAGAGCGATCAGTAATCACATGTGTCGCCTCATGATGGCCAATTTCATGTTGTGACAGACGGACAGACAGATGGACAATGCACAACTAGATTTGGTACTGATTATTCCTGTAAAATTTGCATAGCACCAGTAGTTTATGAGGATTAGTCCGCACAAGCTTTTGTGTATCGGGCAAGTAACAGAAAAAACACCTTTTTATCAAAGGGCCTTAACTCAGCTAAAAATCATTCAACCGGAAAACCCGTGCAATATGCGCAAGGACTTCAGGTAAAGATTAATCATGTAAAGTTTCACTGAAATTGCATTAGTGGTATAAGAGAAGTAGTATGCACAAACTTTAAATATAAAAATTATTAAAGGGCCATAACTCTGACAAAAATTATTGAACCACAAAATGCTGACAATATGCACAACTAGACTTCGTACTGATCCTTCCTGTAAAGTTTGTATGAAATTGCACAAGTAGTTTATGAGAAATAGTCCAGACAAGTTTTGTGACGTACGGACGGACGGACAGACAGACGACGGAGAAGTGATCCCTATATGTCGCCACTATTCCGTACAGGCAACACAATAATGTGAAGTTCTTTTATTTTATTTATGAATTTCACCTTTTGTTCCTATCACTGACAAAGTGGGCATGTGTAAATAGCATCTTCACTTGAAAAGTAATCCCATTCTTCTTCGTCAATTAAATTAACACAATGTCTATGGTACCAATGGCTACAAAGATCACAGCATATCCAGTCTTCACCTTCTCTGTAAAATTTATTGCAAACACAACATCCATCAGTTTCATTATCTTCTTCCGATTGTATTTTCCGCGCTTTGCCTTTATTTTTGCCTTTTTTCAAATTCTTTCTCTTACATTGACTTACAGTAATTTCTTCGGATGAACACTTTTTTCCCTTTCTTGATTTGGTTACTCTTTTTCTTACATTATTTTGTTTTTGTGTATGTTGCTCTTCACTTTTTATAAATGTTCTTGTTTGTCGTTTTCTTAAACAAGTTGATTTTGGAGAAGGACAATGTTGGTCTTCACTTTTTACAACTGTTTTTGTTTGTTGTTTTGGTAAAGAAGTTGATTTTGGAGAAGGACAATGTTGGTCTTCACTTTTTACAACTGTTCTTGTTTGTTGTTTTGGTGAACAACTTGATTTTGGAGAAGGACAACGTCGCTCTTCACTTTTTACAACTGTTTTTTGTCTTTTTGGTAAACAAATTAATATTGGAGAATGTTGATCTTCACTTTTTTCAACTGTTCTTGTCTGTCTTTATGGTAAACACATTTTTATTTTTTTGGACTTCATTGTTCTTCATTTTCTGCAAATGTTGTTACTTTTTTTCCTACTACAGAAAGAGCTTCTGATAAATGTGGTTGTTCATTATTTACTGTTGTTCTGGTTTTCAATTTTTCTAAATTATTTGTATTTTCTGTATATTGCTCCTGGAGACAGGTTGGGTTACACATTTTAACGCATTCTGGATTAGTGAGAATGTCTGTTAAATATTCTCCAATATCATTCTTACTACTACCCGAAGAAATACTTTCATTGTAACATTTCAAAAGTTGCAGCAGTTCTGCTTTCTTAAAATTCTTATAAAAAAGTGGATCAGAAAGCGCATCAGTTTTTAATTTCAAATGTGAAATAGTTTTATCAGTTGACATGTCATTCCTGATAAAGTCCATGGTTACATGTTGAAATGCATTTTTTTCATTTTTTTCCATAATTTTTTTTCTAAGTGCTTTCCCTTTTTCTCTTTTAACTACTCTCAAATAGTCTTTCCGAAATTGGGAGAACATTACTGTTATAAACAATTTCACGATCATTTCAAACAGTGTCACAACATGAGAACAAAATGCAGACATAGATTCTAATAATTCTTGAATGCAATGTTTATCTTTCTCATAATATGTACTGTTTACATGTACAAAGGAAACTGCAAAATTTTTTTCAAAACTTTCTAACACTGTAGTGTTTTTAACAACATTATTGTAAACATATCTAAACAAATACTTTCTTTGAGACTTCAATGACTCAAAAGACATTAAAATTACGGCCGTCTGTTGTAGTTTGCAGAAAAATTCAAAAGTTCTGTCTGTTACGTTTGTAAGCCCTTCTCTTTCATTTTGTTTCCTATGAATTTCTTCTAGTGATTTTGGATACTTTGTCTCTTTTACAATATCGGTTCCTGATACAATACAAGTGTCCAAAATTTTTATTTTTTCATTAAGTTGATTAATCTCGATTTCCATTCCAGGTACAAAAAGGCGATTTCTCAACGCTGAACACAGACGATATCTACATTTTGCAATGGTGTATCCAGCTATGTACCGAAGTTTACCATCATTTCCTGGTGGACATTGCTGTTTTGGAAAGACATTTACATCCACTTTTTCGAAATTCACCAAATGCGATTTATGTTCCATGCGATATGCTTGTATAGCAAACATTACTGATGTTAGTATCTCGTGTCCATAATGAATGTTACTGAACTGTTCCATTTCTTGTAAGTACTCTGTTGAACATATATATTTGTTAAAACTGGCATAAAAGTTTGATAGATGACATGGCTGATTTTTCCCTGGTTCTGCTGTGAAACTTGTTTCAAACATAACTCGAACCTTTTCATGTTGCACTTTATACCAAGAAACACACTGATCGCTTTTCAGTAACAAAGCACATGCTTGCCTGACTGGAACCTCTTCTGAAGTGCCTGTAAAATCAATATGAACAGACTTAATTGTACATGTAAACTTAAATATATAAGTGGCGGCATGGCCGAGTACTCAGTAGTTAACACGTTGGACTAGTAATCTAATGATAGCTAGCCGTATCGGTTCAAACCCCCTCAGGGGCAAGTCGTTGTTTCCTTTTGCAAGAAACTTTACACTCATTGCTCAGTACTGGTTGGTTCCAGGAACGGATTCGAAAGAGTGTCTATAACCTTATAGCTTCCTACACAATCGAACTAAAATAATTTCTGTATAAACCAAATATATAATTATTCTTGCTCTTTTGTTTTATGTATAATATTACAATTAATACCCAAAAATATTTTTCTACAGAAAATATTGTCATATAAAAATGAAATTAAAGGCAGATATAGCACATATTTTGAAAATTGAAACTATGTACATGAAATTCTGTATGAAATTCACTTGGTACATATATTTTTGTACATTTATCTTTTGCAGAAAAATCATTTGTATATCTGGCCATCAATAACCATGAGGTTAAAGTAGTAAGACTCAAAACCCACATGCTCTTCACAGCTGTTAGTTCAAATCCTGACATAGCTTTGCATTATTCAAGTGGAAAAAATGAAGACTTTCACCTTATTGGCAAAAGGTTTGTTTTACACATGATTATGTATGATAATTTAATGTTAATATAGTATAAAAGAAATGAAAAACTGACATACAGATTAACAAGAAAGTTTAGTTTTAAAACCGAAATTACCAATGTAATCCTGAATTGCTATTTCAAAAGCTCGAACCATGTTTTCAGATACATGTGAACTGGAAGCATAGTAGTTATGTTCTTCATGAAATGAGGACAATATATTTAAAAGTTCTTCACTTTCACTGTCAGATGAATCACTGTGTATTGGTAAAGAAGTTGATTGAGTCCCTTTAATTGTCTCACTTTCACTGCCTCCTTTCATGTCACTTTCTGTAAGTTCTGTAGTTGATACCAAGGAAGAGCAGCATATATTGTCAGACAAATCTGTTACTAAAGTGCTTGAATCAATACTTTTATAAAAAAGATTAATTTTATCTGGATGTTTTTTAACTATATTCTGATTATAATTTAAAACCCTAAGACCCGTTGTTGACACTGCTCTACCAACAGCAACTCCCAATTGTCCCGGGCTATAGGCATTTTTGCAATCAATTTCAACAAATGGAATAGTCATTCCTTGTGACTTGTGTATTGTAACTGCATAAGCTAGGCGTAGTGGAAACTGGTATCTTTGGGATAAAATTACAGATGTGACAGGATCATACTTAGTAAACAGAATCCTTGTTATTTTCACAATTTTACCATCAAAGTTAACCTCTATACACTTATGGTTAATATTAACAATTGTTCCAACTAGACCATTTACATACTCATCAGTAAGATTTGTTAACAACATAACTTTTGCATTAATTTTTAAACCCAGATGTTTTGGCGCAATAAATTTCCTCAAAAAATATGTATCTCCAAAGTCCTGTGAATCAAACGTGAAAATTTCACCTGGTAATTCATTCAAGATATTATAATTACATATGTCAGCATCAATGTTTCTTGCAAATAGCTTGATAACTTCAGTCGACGGTACATTTAAAGGCCTTGACAAAGTTTTTAAAAATTCATTTGTCCTTTCAGATGGCACTCCTTTCTCTAATTCATTGACTGCATTTATCAAAGAGTCCTCATCCTGTCTGTAAACTTCATTCACAACTATTATGTGTTTAAAAAAATTGTTTAAAAAAAGCTTCAAAGCAAAATAACCCATTATCATCATACACTTTATCTTTAATTGGAGGCAAATGATAAAAATCCCCACACAAGACTACCTGAATTCCAGCAAATATTTTATTTTGGTTTCTTAACTTTCTGCATAAATATTCAACACTTTCAAGTATTTTTTTACTGACCATCGAAACTTCGTCGATTATCAAAATGTCAGTGTTCATTATTCTATATTTTGTTTTCTGATACCTTTCATCAGACATTAATAAGTTTACAAGTTTAGTTACATCATGCCTTCCATCTTCAAGACCGGCAAACCTGAAAATGATAAACAAATTATCAAAACATATTTAAATTTATTGACAACAGTCAATGAGAAAGTACTGGGATCCTTACATTTATTTCCGGCCCTGATGATTTTTTCCCGGGCCGGACGCGGGATATTGCCATAATTAAAAAAAAATATTTAGCAAATATGAATTATCAGGCTCAAGTACAAGATACTATGAAAAAAATATACAGAAACATAATAAACTAGAAATGTGTTGTCATGTGCTGGATGCCACTGCATGCAGCCAAAATTTCACACGTTATAATATATAGTTCCAAATATGTTTGCACAAAATATTCAGTGACTTTCCTGTTTATATACTGAACCAAAAAAGAAATTTTCGCAAAGTATGTGCCAGTTGTTCAAGTGTACCACTTATATGAAACCACTTAAAACATGTGTAGCTTGTAAAACCCTCGTTGTTTCCCAAAATGGGGTCAGGAAACCCCGGGGAAAAAGCCCAAATATGTTTATTCAACAAAAAAATTTGGAGTTTAAAAAAATTTAAAAAATCGGGTACTAACATATTACATTAAAAACTTGGAAAAAAGTTTTTTTTGTTTAGAAATTTTAACAGATTTTCCAAAGGGTTTAGGCCTCTTCCCAATTGAAATCTTCGTTACAATCCTGCATTTTTTCCAAACAATTGAACTAAATCTGCTTTTTTACTTCCCAAATTAGCAATTTTAGCGATGATTTCTCCCAAAATCAAGAGGCTTAGCCGCTAAGGCCTCTGTCCATTTAATTCAGAAAAATCACCATTATTTTTTTTTCATTTTAAGTTAAGAGCCCTTAAAACTATTGAATGTTAACACAAACCATTTTTATACAATGTTAAAGGCACTGAAATTAATCAGTCTTAACCTTTTGTAAATTGCATATTGCATATTTGTAGCCAAAGTAATGGCCACATACATTTCCACAAAAGTGTGAACCACGACCAAATTCAAACTTGAACTGCTTATTCCTAACATGTATCTATATGTCAAATTTGAGTTGAATGTTTACAACCATTTGGGAGATTATGAATGAAAACTTAAAATTTCTGATTTTTTTTTTAAGTTCAAGAGGGATAACTCTGTCAGCTATCATCAAACCATGACCAAATTTGAAATTGGGCACTGTATTCTTATGACATATCCATATCTTTAATTTCAGTTGAATATGTTGAATATGTAAGGGAGATAATGAATGGGAACTGAAAATTTTGTATTATTTTCAAAGTGAAAGGGGTATAAGTCTGGCAAAAATCATTGAACCATGACCAAATTCTAAGCACCTGCCCATTCCTTTCACATATCCATTTGTCAAGTTTGAGTTGAATGTGTTATACCGTTTGGGAGATAATGAATGGCAAGAGAAACAAACTGAAAATTTCATATCATTTTCAAAGTAAAAGGGGCATAACTCTGGCAACAAGAGCGATCAGTAATCACATGTGTCGCCTCATGATGGCCAATTTCATGTTGGCACAAATTTTGTGACAGACAGACGGACAGTGCACAACTAGACTTGGTACTGATAATTCCTGTAAAGTTTGGATAAAATTGCACCAGTAGTTTATGAGGAGTAGTCTGGACAAGCTTTTGTGTATCTGGCAAGTAACAGAAAAAAAGACCTTTTTATCAAAGGGCCACAACTCGGCCAAAAATCATTCAACCGGAAAACCCGTGCAATATGCGCGAGGACTTGAGCTACAGATCAATCCTGTAAAGTTTCATTGAAATTTGCTTAAGTGGTATAAGAGAAGTAGTCCGCACAAACTTTAAAATTAAAAATTATTAAAGGGCTATAACTCTGACAAAAATCACTGAACCGGAAAATGCTGACAATATGCACAACTAGACTTGTTACTGATCATTCCTTTAAAGTTTGGATGAAATTGCACCAGTAGTTTATGAGCAGTAGTCCGGACAAGTTTTGTGACGGACGGACAGACAGACAGACGACGGAGAAGTGATCCCTTTATGTCGCGACTACTCTGTAGAGGCGACACAAAAATCATCAAACCATCACAAAATTCGAACTTTAACTGTATTTTCTCATGACATATCCATATGTCAAGTTTCAGTTGAATGTGTTTTACCGTTGGGGAGATAATAAACGGAAACTGAAAATTTCATATTATTTTCAAAGTAAAAGGGGCATAACTCTGTCAAAAATCATTGAACCACAACCAAATTCAAACTTTACCTGTATTTTATCATGACCTATCCAAATGTCAAATTTGAGTTGAATTTGTAGAACCGTTACTAAGATAATGAACGCAAACTAATGATGACAGAATGACGGAACAGGGTAACACTATATGCCCCGGCCATTATCATGACGGGGGCATAATAAAACATTAGGCTAATTCCCAAGAAAATGATACATATTTCAAAGGTTTACTTTTGAAGATTTGAGGAAAGATATGTTTTTGTAAGGAAATGATCCAAGACAAAACGGTGGCTTTCATTACTTAGCCAATACTTGTATTTTGTGTTGATTTTGGTTATCTGGGTCTGTGAATACAAGTAAAAATGAAAAAAAAAAAAAAAATTGATTTTGGAAATTGTGCATATCTAAGAAGCCAAAGTGCCTGAAATTTTATTCTGACATGAGGACTGACTGTATATAAATTTATCCAGGCCCTACTGATTTTCAGTTGGCGTGATCCGAGGACCGACAGACTTTCGCATAGACTAGTGACAAACAGTCTGCGTAAAGAGGTAAAGCCGGAGCCCCAGTCTAGTAAAATTCTGTTCAGGCTAGCATAAAATGTAGGAAGACAAGTCTGACAGTCTAACAATGTTTTGAGATCCGAAATTTTCGAAAATAATTTATATATAGCATTTACACTTATTGTATTTATAATGACCAAGAGGGATATGCATATTAAATTTTTTCCCAGTAAGTTAAGGTACAACGTCATAAGGTAAATGAAATCATTTGACCCTTCACTTTCTGTTTACTGTACACCCTGTCTAAGAATATGAGAAATAAATGGTAATCAAGTGATATCACTGCATTATTTTCTCCACATTTAATTAAATTTAAAAATCCTGGTCACAACTTTTGTTAGCATTTTGGGACTACTTAAAATTTGTTCGGGCTATATGATACTTTGTTGGACAAAGCCCGAATGTCTTTCACCATAAAAAGTTTTTTTTACAGACTGGACAAATGCTGCACAAGACTTTTGACAAAAGCAGAAAAAAAAAAATAAACTACAATGGGAAAATTTACCCCAAACTAAAATGGGAAAAAAAGCTCCAAGAGGGCCCTAAACCCGGGGGGGTTTGGGGGGGGGAAATGCTTTTAAAAAAAATTTAATGTATTATAGTGCATCTATTTTGTCTTGTGCAAATGAATTTACATATGTCACAATTTAGCATGGTTACCTATGTAATGTGGTTGCAGTAAATGGTGATCCTCTGTATTGTCTGCAAGCAATTCCTGTGTAACATGTCAATACAACACTTTTACGTTTGTCATCTTTAAATTTATTCAAAACGTTTGTAATGGTAAATGTTTTCCCTGTGCCTGCCTGTCCCAGAATCACAAGATTATGCTTATTTTGGATAAACTCGCTCACTAGTAGCTGTTTACTATTCATATTGAACTATATGCTGTACAAACTCAATATACATGAAATACTGGCATGTGATCTCGAAAAAATTAAAAAATGGTCATTTCACATGCTCTCACCACTGGAATACGATCAGAGAAGACGTAGAATTTGAAGATCGTGATTAAAATCAAGCCGTGAACTTCCGTATGAATTCCTAATTGCTGATAAGTTATTCAAAAAAGTCTGTCACAAGAACCGATTTCAGAGATATCACCAAAAAAACATTAAAATTATTGCAACATTCCCAGACGACCACAACAAACAAAACGGAAAAACGTGCTATGTAACCGTGGTACCCGCATCGAAAATGTTATTTCAAGAGTGATTCGGGAACCAGTAATTTTTTAAAGAAATTGTTAACCAGTCAACGCACTTCCGTTGCTTTAAAACATGGCGGCTGCGAAACCTTGTAGTATTTTATATACAAATTAAACTTTTTTTTTTAAAAGAAATTAAAAATCATAGGAAGTTGTGGAACCGAGTGCCTATGTCGCAAATATTTGCAATATTGTAATTTGTTTATGTGTGTTTCATGATTGACGATTTCATTTCATTTTGTCATTACGAGGAAGGTGAGCATAGTATTTAATTAATTATATAGAATAACGCGATTGTCATTTTTTAATAAATCAAACGTTCTAGATAGCTAGAAATACAGAAAAAATTGAACAGTTGAAATAATTTACAGTTACATCATAGACAGCTCACTGTAGAGATAATTTAGTCTAATTATTAGGGTTTCGTACCCAGTTAATTTTGCCAGCCAGGTGGCAATCTGTTCAGATTAACCATACAGACATTGCGAATCACGAAATCGAACTGGACAGGAATCATCTAAAACAAATTACAAGTTAAATCTAGATATTTTGGTGACTTGGTCTGACTTCTGACAAATGGTTTAAGATTGATTTTCTTATATTATTGATAAGTTTGTAAGTTAACCATTGAAAATATTATATTACTTTTAGATTTAACAGATAACGATGGCTACAAATTCACCAAAGAAGTCACAAAGGGTGAAGCCAAAAACTTATTCAACATGCTTGTTGTACAACACTAAAGAGGCCCAAAGCAAACTGTCTGGCATCATCTTGGCAAATTGTAATCCAAACCTGAGAACAAAAGTTCAAGATGTGGTAAATCCAGGTAAGGACTAAGATTTGACTTTAATCCTGATGAACAGTTTGAAAAATTACACTTAACCTAATGATAAACTCATCGTTTTAAACCTCAGATAGGTTATGACATTAAGTAAGTAGTAAATCAGTATAAAATAATATGAAATTAGGCAAAGCCTATAAACGGGGAAGTCGCTAAAAAATCCTTTCATTCTTTCCGTTTTAAAGGTGTCATTCGGTATTACATGCACAGTTTCCGTTTTCACTCGGAACACTCGACGATTATTATTGATCCGAAAAGTTGAGATTTGTTCCGTTATCGGAATACCCCGCCTATTATCATTGAGTTTCATTGTAAATGGCGGCGCCCGACTAGAACTGACACTGAAAATTTCATTGATAGGTATAGAATTATATATATTTTCTAATTGTTTTTTTTATTTGATTTTCTTTTAAATATACACGTGTAGTCTATAGCCGGGCAAGCCAAAGCCCGGACCCGCTTCGCGGGCCCGGTCTTTGACTTCCCCGTATTAAACAAATGATAATAATATCTGTTTTACATATAGGTAAGTGTCTTTGACATATTAATGATCTAATTTCAAAAATGAATCTAAATTTTTATTATCAGAATTTCAAAATATTCTTGTTGACTAAAGTAATCTCAGTTTCCCAGACAAGATAAGATAAAATAAGATAAGATAAGTTTTATTTCAAGTCGGCAAGTTTTCAACAGTACAACATAGCTCTAGGAGCTTTTATAACCGACTGTATATAACATAAAGTATAAGATCAACAAAGATAAAACAGCTACAATAAAAAATGATTAGACATGATATATATACATCACATACATAAAATAGACCTTTTTAGATATATTTTTATAAAAATGAATCAGATGCTAAAAAACTAAAATGATAGTTTACCCAATTCTACATCACTAGCTTGTATATTAAACTAGGCTTACAATGTCTAGTATCTAAAAATTTTACTTAAAGTTCAATAATATACCGATTAAACAATTAAAAATTTAATGAATAGTTAAATAAATAAATAAATAAAAATACTAAAAAAAAACAAAAAAAAAAACACATTTTTTTATATATAATTTAAATATGAAAGACTATGGGTTATCAGACTACACAAAGACAGAAGGTATCATACATGTAAGTCAACAGTTGAACTCATTTAACAGCTAGCTTGAGTCATGCTGGAAAGATAAGCAAAAAAACAAAAACAAAACAAAAGATCACAAATAAAGCAACATTCTATCTAGAAACTATATGATAATATTAACATAAGCAGGAATCATGCAGGGAAGAAAAGCAAAAATACATTTAAAGCAAAAAACTGAAGAAACTAAATAATAAATGAAACCAAAAAAAATATGTTCATACCCAGAAAAATAAATAAAAGTGGAGTAAATAAAGAAATAGAAGTTAGCTGCAAGCAATACATTTACATTGTTTACCATTCCATGATGAAATTAACTTTTTAAACTGAGCAAAATTTGAACATTTTCTAAAATTGTCAGGTAGAGTATTCCATAAAGCAGGTGCAGCATACCTGAAAGATTTTTTACCAGTAGTTGTAGTTCTTACTTGCGGAATCTGCAAAATATTTGAATATTTAAAATTTATACCAGATGTTTTCTTGACAATAAGGTCAGATAGAACAGCAGGAGACATATCATGAAAAATTTAAAGAGTTTCAATGGCCATAAGCCCTCATTCTTCTTATTTTTAGAGTTGGTATATTAACTTTTATCAGCATATCTTCATAACTTGAATTAAAATCATTATAGACAAATCTATGTGCTCTTTCCTGTAGTTTTTCCATCTTTTTAGTATTATTTTCTGAACAGAAATGCTATGACATAGGACAAAAATTAGAATTGGACAATATAAAAGTATGAAAGATTGTTAACCTATTTGTTTGATTTAAATTGTGACCTATTCTTTTGAGGATGTTTAACTGATTAGCAGCTTTTTTACATAAATGCTTATGTGAAAATTAAAATTCAATTGTTGATCAATATCGATGCCAAGGAGTTTTACAAATTCGTCACATGTTATTTCACTTGTATTAATTTTGAAAGCTGGGGATTTAGACAAAGTTTTCTTCCCTACAGCAATAGCTTGAAATTTATCAGGGTTAGCTTGCATTTTGTTAAAATGAAACCAATGAAATAAGATACATGTAGTTACTTTCCTGTTGTAAGGTACATATTAGTTCATCAAAATGTTTAGTCCGAAAAGAAAGGGTATTGTCATCTGCAAAGTTATATAAAGTACATTTTTTTATTAAGAAAAATATGTCATTTATGAAAATATTAAACAGTAGAGGGCCAATGATTGATCCTTGAGGGACACCTTTGGATATATTAGCCCATGAACTTACAATATTGCCTATTTTTATTTGCTGTTTCCTGTTTGACAGATAAGACTGCATGAGGTTGGTGGCAGGGCCTGATAAGCCATATGCTCTTAACTTATTTAAAAGAATGTCATGAGGCAGACAATCAAAAGCCTTAGATAAGTCCATCAAAATTGCTGCCACATATTTATTGTTGTCCAGGGCCTGTCTCAGTCCTCAAGCAGTCTTAACAGAGTAGTTTGACACCCATGGCCTTTCCTAAAAGCACATAAATAATTGTCAAATATATTAGTTGTGAGTGAGGTTATTAGTTGAGAAACTTCACATTATCTTATCTCAATTTTCTCCCTTAGAAAAAGTAAATCAAGAGTTTTTATTTCTGTATATTTACCAAATTAAGCTGATTTTTTTTTCTGCAGTTGTTGAAGATGTTCCAGCAACAGAACCAGAACTAGTACCTTTACAGTTAACAGTGTCAGAGAAAATGTCCTGCAACTCTTGTGATGCTGTCTTTGCTCATAGAGTGGAACAGGTAATACTAACAAATGTTTCTTTGTTTTGTTTAAACTTTACACTGCTAGAACTGAAAGGACTTTAGCCTTGTCACCAGTATAAAGTGACATTTGTGCAGTCTGACTAGGCTCTACAGGCAGTCTCAGTCATTGAATTTAAGATTTTGAATTTCGAGTTATGAATTTATTCTACTATATATTTAACTAAATTTTCTTAAAATTTACACTGGCCCAAACTAATTTTTACTGGCCATGGGCCACCGGGCCAGTGCTAAATTTTATGACTGCGGTCTATACTGTAAGCTGTTAGCTGACCAAGTTCAAACTTTCATCTTGAAATCTCTGAATGAATAATGGAGAACTCAAATCCAAAGTCTTTTGATATTGAAATGTGTTTCTTGTATCAGCTAGCAGCAGATAAAATGGTTTTAACTGAAATGTTGGATATGTTATGGAGCTTGCTTTTTATATTATAATATTCACATAATGAATTAACACTGTTCTTGCATCAAAGTATTCATCTAAATTGCTTATTCCTTTCGTTATTTGTATTTCATATGAAGAAACCTTTGCTTGTTCGATGCATACCATATGCTATTGTGATGTCATTTGACAGTTAAAGTTTTAATGATAAAACTATCACTGCCGTCATTGTATTTAGTTGTTTTTGCATTGCGATCTGAATCATGCATAAAATTACAAAAATGCAACAACGGTGCAAGGTCAATAGGATCTTATCAGTTTATGCATGATTTGTCCTATGTAAATGTTGCAGATTTTATGCAAGAATATATACTCATATTCATATATACTTGATGAAGTGAGAGGTCACATTTTAATTGCAATTTTGCAAACATGGAATGAATGACATTTTCATTTATATTGTAGAAGAGGCATTACAGATCAGACTGGCATAGGTACAACTTGAAACTACGACTAAAGGGTAAAGAAAAAGTTAGTGAGGAACAATTTGAAGATATATCTGGTAAGCAACAATAAATTTTAAATAACACATTAGACTAGTAATCTAAGTATTGCTGGCCATAGTGTCTTTTCTAGAAATTCAAATTTAGGGGTGAATTTCCCCCCTCACTTTAAAAAGGGGGAATTTTCAAAAACAAGGGGTGCCAATAAAATGAACAGTAATTGCATAATATTTAACCAATTTTGTTTATATCAAGCCAGGAACTTTTTGTTACTTAATAATTCTTTCAGTTAATTACTGTTAGCTTAACCTTTTTTCAAATGACCAGGTCCAGAATTGTTTCAGAGTACCATTGTACATGTATGTATTATAAATATCCCTGTTAGCAATCAGCAGCCATATATTCAGTTGTAGGGCTAGCTATAATAATATTATCTAACTGTACATACCCTGAGCAGAATTCTTTCCTTTGAATCATTAATCCACACTTGGTAAGAACATGTTTAAAAATTGTGCATGAACTTTGAAAAATAGTGGGATCCAGCAGTAGCATTTACTAGAATAAACACTGTGGGTCCATTGAATTAAAACCTCAAGGGTAAGTTGTTATTTCCTTGAGCAAGAAACTTTAATATTCATTGCTTACGGTTGGTTCCAGGAATGGGGTAAGAAAATGATAAAGTCATTTTAGATTGCAATTTGACCTTCAGTATCATACAGTTTCCCATGTATTACAACCAATGATTGAACAAGTTTTGAAGCTAGAACAGAAACCAGCCTCACTCATGACATATAATATAATTTTCTGGAGCTCCTCTCATACTCCATTTTTCCTCCACAACTATACAATATGATAAATAGAGGATATTGAATGAGTGTAAGTTCAATACTGAATTTATTGCACGAGTTGAATAAAATTAAATTATGCCAGCCTCTGGCGAGCATAATATTATTTTATTCAACGAGTGCAATAAATTCAGTAATGAACTTACACAAATTTAATATTCTATTTATCACATACCCAAAATAAATACCGTTTAAAGTGAAATAAGAGTCATTTTTCATTGACGCTGCTATAGTATAACACTAACATTTAGCGCGTCTTTACACTATGTTTGTATAACGCTAATGACGTCATGTCAAAATATATGCACGGCCGTACAATACCATTTTTACGGAGTCGCAAAATCGGCACGGGTGTGTGATAAATTGGTATAATACAATGTTGTTTTTCTTCACAATGTATAGCACTTACATGTATATTTGATGCTGCATTTTTATATTCTTTTGCATGTGGTAAAGAAGAGGTTTATTTTGTGATAGTTGCTTCTGAAAAAAGAATTTTCATTTTCAGGAAATATATCCAGTCTGTCAGGAAGTGACTCAGACACAGACGCAGACACAGATACAGATAACCAGTCTAAAACAGGAAGTGGTAAAAAACTGCCTGGTTCCCAGCGTAGACATGTATACTCTGGCAATACAAGTACTGACAGTGACAGTGAATCAGGAAACCAGGTAATTATCTCTTCATCCATTATATGAGAAGCCAAAAGGTAAAACAAGACAGAAATTAAACAACAAAGTTGGTATATAACATCCATGGAGAGTCCTGTCTCAAGTTTTTTTATTTCAACTTAAATGACACCTTGTGGCAGTTCCAAGAGATAAGAATAGAAAAAAAATTAAATGTTTATCTTGTCTATTTCAGTGAAAAATTGAAGGTATAACGATTCCTGTAATCATATTGTGCAAAAAATTGAATGTAGCCCATAATTCAAACATTTTACAGTGTTACTTCCGAATTCCGGAAACTTCTAAAAACCGAACAATTTTTTCGGTCCCGATTTTTCCCCTTCTATTTTCTATTAATATAATATTTCTGAATTCCGGAACTTCTAAATTCCGGATGATATTTTCGTAAAATTAGGGTCAAATCAATGCAATTTTACCTCCAAAATCCGGAAATATCCAAAGGTGTGAAATACATTGTAAATCGAGAATGTTTAGCCTGCAGGGAGATTTAATCTCCCTATCGTTTGTTTACCAATTAGCGGTGATCGTGTAATTTGACACACATTAAAATCACAAACTGTTAAATGGTATGTTTGAAGTGATGCGGTTAAGTAAAGTAATTTACGACGGTCAGTTAATTTGAAGTGTTTATTAGCGGATTAAATGAAAATAAGTTGGGACAATGTATGCATCAGACGTCTTTAGGGATTTTATTTCATTTGATGTACTAATTAATTAACTAGCATCGGACAATATGTAAGTTTATGCAATTAACAACATTTCTCCAGTAGCAGTATTAAATAAGCTTTAAATATCAATGTTTTCTTTTCCTTCACATTTTGATTAAAAGACTATTTTATATGATATTACAGTAATGGCCACATTTTCCTTGACATTTAGTGGCTTAGTCTTGTCCACATTATCCGAAACCTCTGAATTCCGGAAACCTCTAAAATCCGAACTTTTTGACAAGTCCCATGGGTGTTCGGTTTTCAGAAGTTACACTGTAATAGGTATCAATATGAATCTTGGAATACTTGCTGCAGTTTTAAGATAAGGGACATTATTCTGAAATCTTTACTTTTGGAGTTAAGCCCCTTTTTAACTTCAAACTTTTGTTGATATTAGTTATTGATAGCTATTGCCTTTAACAAATGACGGTCAACACTGCATGCAGTGCTCATGTTTTTTTCTCAGTAATCTTTAGTCAGAAAAAGTACTTTCTTGGAACTTACCTGCTTTAGAAGGATTAGTTATGCAATTACTTGCAGTCTTGATATAAGATGCAAAGTTATGTTAATTTTATATAAAAAGAGGTCCTAAAAAAGTTATATAAAGTAGTAAACTACATAATTATATAATGCTTGTACATGACTTTAGACTAATGTAGACTAAACGAGGTGTTAAAATAAAGTTATGTAATAATTGTATTGAATATGAAATGTTTTCAGGATTATCTCACTAACCTGGACTTAAACTGCTTTTAATTTCAGCAACTTAGAATTAGAAATGTCAAGTGACCAGTTATGCAATATCAAAAGATGACCTCAATGAATTTTTCAGCAAGTTAGATACAGCCTGCACACAACTGCACAGATCTTAGGGGTGACCTGTATCTAAAGTCTGGTCACATATATTTGGTGCTGGCATTACAAGAAATGTTTCACAGACAATTTTACCAAAGGAAAAAAAACAATTATTTCATGAATTGTATAAAGATGTAAGGTCTAAAGTCTGGTCACATATATTTGCTGCTGGCATTACAAGAGATGTTTCATAGAAAATTTTACTGTAGGAAAAAAACAGGAGTTAAATTTCATGAATTGTATATGGTTATATTTTTCAGTATGAAGATGTGGCTAGAAGACTACCAAAGGTGTATTTCAGGAATAAAGATGGTGATTTGTTATCAATTTACAGATGTGTTCTATGTCATAAAAAGGTAATTACTACTAGTCCTAAAATACCATGGTTACCCTTACACTGCTGTATTTGTATAATGGACTTGCCTTGTTTTGAATTTGGAACTATCCATTGTCAAAAGTGATTATAGAATGCTTGTCTTAGTTTCTATGTTAACCATTACACTGGTTGATTTGTGTTTTAGACTGGCCCTTCCTTTTATTTGAAACATTCCATTGTAAATTTGTGAAATTAAGGTTTTACCCGGCTGGTAACGAAAGTGATCATCTTTTGCCACCATTATAGAGAAAAGTCAGTCTGTTCATCTGACATCATCTGACATCAGTGCAGTCTTACCAGGCTCTATACTGTTGGCTGACAAACTTGAAACTTTATTTGGAAAGTTATTAATTGGTTACTTTTCATGCCCAAACATTGGTTGTTTATTTTTACCCTGTTGTCTTTCAGACAACAACATCAACTTTGGCCATAACCTTTTCATTTCTCTAAATTTAATTCTTCATACTTAGACACTGCATACTTCTCAGCAAACATTTAAAAGACATGTATGACATTCTAAAATTTCTATAGAATGAAAATTTTGTTAGAAATATGAAATTCCAGTGTAAATTGCACCATAACTGATATTTAAAAATATATTTGGCTTATAAGTGTACACAACTTGCCACAGGATAAGGCCTTGTGTCTATTCTGACTTTCTTTCTAAATTTCAGAAATGTTGATCAGAACTATGTCATTTCATATAAACTAATTTTTGGCATGAGGTGTTTGAGATTTATAAAACATTATGTCCATGAAATTAAAATGTTCATTTATCAGAAAAGCAAGTTGATTAATTTGTATGTATGAAACTTTTAATGATTTGATAACAGTAATAAATCTGTTCTTTACTATGAGTTTCTAATTACATATATAATTTATGATTTTTGCATATTTTTGTGTTTCAGTCACATCCAAGCCAGCAAGAAGACCTTGTTACCTTGGCAACAGGGATTCCTGATCAGATGAACTGGGCAGTTTTTATGGCTGCTGGTGGGCATTTTGCTGGTGCCATCTTTAACAAGTAAGTTGGGATAAATGTTGTTGTTTTCCGCCATAGATTGTAGTTTCACCTTGACTTCTGGTATATTCACTGGCTATTCACTGTTCCTTTCCCCTGTATATGTAGGACAAGGAATCCATGTGCCCATTTACAATACAACTTTAAAGGGACTCCACTGGGTTTATTTGATGTGACTGAACTAAAAAACAATTTGATATCTTTATACAATTTGATGTAGGTAAATATGTACACCAATAACTTGTATGCGAAATTTCAGATCATTCGCTCGCTATGGTTTACCAGAATAATAATTTTTATTGTGCAAATTAACCTAAAAGTAAAAACCATTTAATTAAATTCTTTTCACTCAATCAGGCAAAGGATTCCAATAAATGTCTTATTTTATATTCAATTCTGAGTATATTTCTTTCTAATCTTCTTATTATTTCTTTCTGTTTTAAGTGCCCCAGTTGATCTATACAAGATTTTCAAATTTAATGTTTCTAGACTTTTGGATATTAAACAAAGATTAGAAAATTTTATGAGTATTGAAATTAAAATTATTTGTTACAACAATAAATTCTTACATATCAAAATGATACAAACAACAACTCTGCAGTCAAGACAGGTATTCAAGGTGATATGTCATTTCTAAGCATTGATAATTAATGTATATGAGCATTCACAGAATATATATAAATTATCAAGCAAATTGATAAACCAGGTTTACCTAAGCCAAGTATCTATTTTTAAAACCTTCAGAATACTGGAAGCCAATGTGATAATCTTTTGTCTCTTGTATAGAGCCAGACCAGCCTGTACTATGCAGGTTGACAAGGCTCTGCTGTTTGTAGCTCAATTTTTGTATTTTGATATTGAAATCCTTTATTATTTTTAATGTACTGCTGGGCAAATCTGTTATTAAAAAGTTAAGATAATGTTATTAAATATATGAAGATAAGGTTTTAACTATTGGTGAAATAATATTTAGTTTGTGACACTTAGCTACATGCAATCTACAACATTCTACTTTAATACATTTAGAGTTTATGCTTGAAATTTTGCTTTTTCTATGCTTGTTTTTCCATACACCTTATTTCTTTTAAATGTTTGGTTTCCTCCAACACCTACAAACCCCTACAAAAACGGACAAGAAGCAGTTATGGTTTGTTGTTAAATTTTTTCAACAGAAATGGTTTTGAATCTGATACATCTGAAGTTAAGTTTAATAATATTTTGTTGCATCTATCACCATTATCATTTACATAAATACATGGGTTACTTGAATAATACAAAAACAAATATTCACATACAGATATATGGTTCAAATGGGTCGGGCTACAAGTTATGACAACATTAGCAACAGCCCTCCCCACATCATTTTTCAAGATATCATTTATTCCAGTACTTTTCATGTAGATATTTTTATAGGCTTGATAAGAAAAATATAAAATATGTTTACTGTTATTAATTAATTAATAATTTATACAGGGGGAAAAGTCCTTTATGAAGAAAACAGGAAGAAAAAAACAACAACAAAAAACCAAAAGAACAAAAAACAACAACAAAGAAACGCCAGTCTAAAAATACTTATAATACTAAGAAAAAAAAACATAAAAAAACAACAACAATGGTGATTGTTAATATTATTATCATCAAAATATTTCAGCTTTTAGTGTATACATTGATACAGTATATAGTTAAAACTCTACCAAACTCCTGGTTCTATGATTTCATTGTGAATAATCACATGGACAGTTATTTACATGAATCAATTTACTTTCAAAGATTTAAATAAATCAGCACTTTTTATCCATCAATAATATCTTTCCACTTAGATTAAAGGGAAGCAACTATAGTAATACTCAAAATTCAAACTTATCTGTATGCTCTCCCTTGCCCTTTTACATTTAAGCATGATAAATTTTAAGTGTCAGTAGTCAAAATGTCATAAATATGTGTGTGTATTTGTATGTCTATATATATGTGTGTGGTATGTTGGTTATACTGTCTGGTTGTTTTTGTTTGTGTGGTTTTTGTACATGCAATTTTGCTTATTCTGAGATGACATAATATATGTACATGTATATCTTTGATTTTTACAAAATCCCTTTTTTTCCCTAATAGTAAGTACCAGATGTGTTTAATTGAGTTAAGCATGATCTTTTAACATACTGTTCTCTCAATGGATGAAATAGAATAGTATACTTTGAAAGCATTACCTGTGAATAATTACCAGTGATCTAAACATTAAGAACAATGTATCACTAAGTATATGTTAAATTCAGTAACAAATCCTTATACTGTCTTGTCTAATTTCAAGATTATACATTAGTAATTTATTATTTATTTATTCATTCAAAAGTTTATTTATTTATTTATGTTATTTTTGTCCCATTAATTAATTTATTTCCATTAATAGTTTATTTTTTCATTTATTTTTTACAATAATCTGGGATGTACTATATCGTATGTTCCAGCAATAATGTGTTTTCCAAAGTCTGAATTAATTTTTCTAGTTTTCTTTGTTTTAAAATTATGTTAGGCCTAAAAATGTATTTCCAACTTAGTTACATATCTGAAGTCTTTATATAAATGTCAGATACCAAAAAATTAAACCTTGGTGTAAAACATTAGATAGTACTTTTTACCAACAATATTATCTTAGAAATGAGATAATTATTATTCCAAGAACCTATAATTTTTATTCATATGTATATGTTATGTTTTGATCATTTTTGAGATGCAACAAGAGAATTCCAACAAGAACACTGCATACAGTGCCAATGCTCCTCTGTCAAAAGAAACAAATAAAAATTAAAGAAATAATTAAAAAATTATTACCAGAGTGTTATGGTTGTCATGTTCTTCACTTCTTAATTAAAATAAATTTGTATTGTGAATGTTTGAGATATTAGCATTTATATGTACAAAAGTCAGAAGAGGAAAAGACAGGAATCAGGCATTTGACCTATATAAATATTCAAAAAAATAAAAAAAATCTTTAAAAAATGTATGTAAATTTTCAATTTGATGTTTGTATCAATTAGCAGAAAAATAGTGACTAACACTTTTTGTGTATTTCTTTATATTTTTCACATCCAAATTACATGTAAACATCTTAATTCTTTATAAAATTTGCTACACTCAAATTTAAAGCTACTATTGCACAATTTTACAGATTAATGTAACCAATTTGAGCAGTATATCTATAAATAGATTATACTGTAGTGTTCAGTACTATTTTTAGAACATATCTGGAAAAACTGGGAAACCTAAAAAATAGATTAACCTTGGATCGTATGTTGAATATGTTTCTAATAATTCAAAAATATTACCTTAATTTCATATAAATTTTCCTTACATTAGAGATATTATTAATTCAAAACTTTAATTTAATATTAAATAATTCAAAATGAGTGTTCAAGAAGCAAAATTTTAGTTTAACTCTAAATCTAAAAATAGAACATGCATACGGAAGACAACTTACACATAAAACAGTAATTCATAAAATTATTATTTCATGTATGTTAATAAAATAGAAAAATATTAAAGCAATATTAAGAGACAGTTATATAAATGTACAAATTTACTTTAATATTCTATATTTGAAAATCAAAAACACTCATTATTATAACTGTATTTTAATAAATGCAATGTATTCAATTTATAAAACTATTAGATTGTCATAATAGTAAAGATACGATATATATACTAGTAAAGTTTTAACAGGATTATGTGGTCCGGAGTTAGCTGGTTATCTATGAATTGCCTACACTTCCCGGCTTTCACCATTAGTCCATTACTTTTTCTTTTTCTTTCTTTTTTGTTTAATAAACTTCAGCAAAGAAGGGGTCTTAATATCTCTACTAACAGCGGTTAGGCTGGCAGATTCTGGTATTAACTTGATAAATAATGATATTTTTTTTTTTAATAGTCAATATGTATGCAATGTGCATTGCTTTGATAAATAATCTCTTTTCAGTGTCTCAAAGTAGTTGATTAGAATAGAACCTGTAACACAATGAATTGTAAAGTATATACCATGGTCTTGGGTTGTTAAAATTTATTATGTTCCGATATTTGAAAATAAAGAAGAAAAAAAAAAGACAGTATATATAATGGGGATTGTCCAGGCAACTTCTAGCTTTGTCAGAAGTGAACTATCATCTACAGGCATGACGATTTTAATATAACTTTGCACAAATATTCTCAATTGCAAGGTGGCTTTTTGTCCATAAAATTCAGGTCCCTTTGACCAAAAACGAGGTCAGACTAAAATATAAATATGGGTGTCAAAAGATTACATCAAACATGTTACTGATTTTCACGTAGGTGAAGGTCAAGGTTGCAACTGTGTACAAGTCAATCAGAGTCAGTGACATTGTTCTCACTCCACCATTTTTTTACTTTTAACTGCCTCCGTGGTCGAGGGGTTAGAGACTATGACTTCTCATCCAGTTACCTCTCTGGCGTGGGTTGGAACCCCGGGAGATGCTTTGGTAGTTTAGCGTGGAGGAAGGTAGTCGAGTACTGGTGTAACTCTCCAGGAACGATGGTTAGGAAACTACCTGCCTATATGACTGAAACACTGTTGGGAAAAGGCCTAAAATGAAACAAACAAACAAACAAAGACAGAACTTTTTTAACTTACTTATATAAAGTACAAAAAGGATTTGATATGGATTTTAGGACTCAATAAATGTGCTTTTTTAAATATCCATAGAATCTGAAAGCATTTAGCTATTGAAGAGTTATAATGTGTTATATGCCTTAATTAAGCTATGTTGCCATTAGGTGTATTTTAATTATAAATGTTAATTATAATAATTATGTCAATCGCAACTTTTAGGCCCTTTCTGTCAGTTCTTGGATAAGAACCTCAAACACAGTAGAAAGAAATACACAGAACGAATAGGGTATTTGGATGTAACCTATGCTAAGATGTTAATAAATAGTAATTTAATGCTAGGAGTTGAAGACTTAACATTTAAACCAGTAATTCAAGTAGAAGACAAACT